CCCCCAGTATGGCAGCAGATACTGAAGAGTACCCCCAGTATGGCAGCAGATACTCAAGAGTGCCCCCAGTATGGCAGCAGATACTCAAGAGTACCCCCAGTATGGCAGCAGTTACTCAAGAGTACCCCCAATATGGCAGCAGATACTGAAGAGTGCCCCCAGTATGGCAGCAGATACTGGAGTATCCCCAGTATGGAAGCAGATACTGAAGAGTACCCCCAGTATGGCAGGAGATACTGAAGAGTATGCCTAGTATGGCAGCAGATACTGAAGAGTACCCCCAGTATGGCAGCAGATACTGAAGAGTATGCCTAGTATGGCAGCAGAGACCTTTGGTCAAAAGCTCTGGAATCGTGCCCACAGCAGGCAGCTCATCAAGCTCTCCATCATGGGAGAGGAGCAAGGGTGGGTGGAGAGCTTACCCAGCAGGACTTGCCTTCTTCAGCAGGGAAGCCAGCACACAGTACTCTCTGGGCCATTCCCGGAGAGAGTGACACATAATATTCCTGGCATGCTTCAGGGCCAAGGATGGGGATTGTAAATTGCTGTAGTCTTTTGGATTTCTCTCCACCTTGAAATCAATGAATATCTCTTGTTAAGTCAATGAAGGCCCCCAAACAGGGTATATTTTCAAAGGATCTCTTGGGCACATTATCCATACAATGATTTATAAGGGGAAAGTTTCTGCTCCACTCTAGAAAGAAGGGTGTTCATTTGTTTCTGGAGGCTCCTGGCCCAAAATGTCTACAAAGCGGATACCTGGAACAACAGAAATATATGCTCACATTTCTGGCGGTTGGAAGCCAGATCAAAGTGTAGTCGCAGGGCGGTGCTCGCTAAAGGTTCTAAGTGAGAAGATGTCCCATGTCCCATTCCGCTCCCAGCATTTGGTGTTGCTGGCAATTCTTGGCGTTCTTTGGTTTGTAGGTGCATCACTCGAATCTGTTGTTAGGCGATGTTCTCCCTGTGTGCCTCTGGTCCTCTGCTGCTGCTGCTTTTTTTTTTTTTTCATTTGTTAGTTGTTTATTTATCAATAGAAGCTACTCCTTAGCCCACAGTCATATTTCATAGCTCAGCCAGTGACGTTCATGGAACGATCTGAATAAATTCTTTCATTCCACAGTCACTTTGCACTTTTAAAGCTACCAGCTTTGCTCATCTCGTCCAAATCCTTCATGGAATCATCATTTCTATAGAAATCTGCATATGCCTCTGTCCTCGGTTCAGTAACGGTGAACGCATAGACAGCTGCAGCCCCTAGAGACATCGTGAATGCTGCACCAGTGTGAACGCACAGGTGCCTGGCCAGGAGGCCTCGTCTCTGAGGTTCTGTCAAAGCACTGGGGGGGAAGGGGGTGGCATGGCAGTTCTTCCCCCTCACCACAAACGTCCTTCCTGACTGATGAAGAAATGGCCCTCTTGTCCTCTTAGAAGGACAGCAGACATTGGATTACCTACCAACTACCCAAGCCATGGGATGTTCAGTTGTCCAAATGCTCGTGAAAGCTGGACAATGAATAAGGAAAACCAAAGAAGAATCGATGCCTTTGTTTACGGGGCTGGTAAAGAATATTGAATATATCATGACCTGCCTTAAGAAAAAATAAACCTGTATTGGAATAAGTATAAACAAACTATTCCTTAAAGGGAGACTTCGTCCCACTTGAATTGGTCATGTGATCGGGAGGGACCCAGTCTGGAGAAGGACACATGATTGGTAACGTAGAGGTCAGGGGAAGGGAAGACCCTCGGTGAGGTAGATGACCCAGCGGCTGCAATGGCAGAAAATGTGCGCAGGGCCAAGGGCCAGGCGGTTTCTTTCTGTTGTTCATAGGGTCTCCATGTATAGAAAGCTGTTGGACAGCACCTAAAAAACACTAACCTATTGTACTGCACCTATATTTGCACACACACATGCAGAAGCTTAAAAAACTCATGGAAAAATTCATTAGCTTCCAATTCATTTTTTCTGTGAACTTTAAAAAAATTATTATTACTCATTTTACTGGGAGGCTTTTACAAATTGTGTAACAATCCATCATTCAATTGTGTTAACCATACTTGTACATATGTTGCCATCAATATTTCCAAAAGATTTTTTTTCTACTTGAGCCCTTGGTATCAGCTCCTCTTTTTTCTCCACCCTCCCCCGCTTCCCACTCTCATGAATCCTTGATCAATTATAAATTATTACTGTTATTTCATGTCTACCTTCACCCACATTTTTCTTATCACCCTCCAGGGGTGGGGCAGCTATATATATCCAACCTTGTGATGGGTTTCCCCTTTCTCTTCCTCCTTCCCCTCCTCCCACACCATCCCCCAACCCTCATGATATCTCTACTCCCACTACTGTTCCTGAGCATTTTATCTGTCCTGAATTCCATGTTTCAAGAGTTTTTATCTGTATTAATGTGTGTGCTCTGGTTTAGCCAGATTTGTAAGGTAGAACTGGGTCATGCTAGTTGTGGGGAAGAAGCATTCAGCAACTACAGGAATGATGTATGTTTTGTTGGTGCTATACTGTACCCTGGTCTAATCGTCCCTTCCTTGTAACCCTTCTGTGGGGGGATGTCCAATTATCTACACATGGGCTTTGGGTCTCCACTCCAACTCCCCTCTTTTGCATCGATATAATTGTTTGTTTTGGATCTTCTGATACCTGATCCCATTGATATCTCATGATCACACAGGTGTGCTTCTTCCATGTGGGCTTTGTTGCTTCTCATCTAGATGGCCACTTGTTTATCTTCATGCCTTTAAGACCCCCATGCTATATCTTTTGATAGCTGGGCACCCTCTGCTTTCTTTATTAGCTTCTCCACCCATTTTGTCTTCAGTGATCAGGTTGGGAAGGTGATTATCAAAGAGTGCCAGTTTATTAGAACAAAGTGTTCTTGTGTTTAGGGAGCCCTTGAATAAAGGTCCAAAGTCCGTCTGCTATCATAATACTTAACATATAATTATAAAAACATTGGCCTCTATCTCTTTCATTATAAATTAATATATTTACATATATACATGCCTATAGCTATACCTCTATAAATAACTTTTGCCTCCTAGTTCTTTCCTCTATTTCCTTTCACTTTCCTCCTGTCCCACTATCATGCTAACCCTCCATTTGGCTCTCAGTAATTCCTCTCGGATACATTGCACTTGATCAAACCCCACCAGACATTATACACCTTCCTCATCATCAATTTTAGACCTCTTGTTGTTCCCTTGTCCTTGAATTTGTTGGCTCCCTGCTCCCTGCTCCCCCTCCTTGTTCCTGCCTCTCTCTTGTCCCCCTGGGATCACCAGGCCTGTTGTTTCTCGGATTGTTTGTCCTGCCTATCTTATATAGGGAGATCTAGAGCGAAAGGAAAAAAAAAAAGATAGATAGTTAAGGTCTGTCTGCTGGCCCTTATGAGTGTTTTCCAATTGTGTCTGGTGAGGCGCCCTGTCCCCTGAGTCGGAAGTCTATTTTCAGGATTCTTTGAGGACTTTGTTACTTTGCTCCCCTTGCTGCCCTATTTTACTTCCTTTGCATTTTGCCCCACTGTGCATGGGGCAGACCATGCACACATTCTACACAGTGTCACTCCCATAGCACTCTGGTTGCTGTCCCCCATAGCACTATGGTTCAGTGAGGGAATGTCATGTCTCATGGTGGGGCCTGTCCAACGGTCCTCCTTGTGCATGTGCTGCTCCGAGCAGGGATGTCATCCCCGGGGCTTGGTAGGCCATGATGAGGTTCTCTCTCTCTCTTTCCCTCATAGTTTGTACCCGTGGTAGGCCATGATGAGGTCCACTATCTCTCTTTCCCTCTTAATTTTCACCAGTGTGGTCTGGACAGACCCGCCACTCTCCCTGGACTATATCTTCGGTGCTGTCCTCTGTATTACATTCTTCTGGGGAGTCCATGAACTTTTTAAAGCCTTGATTGCATAGTGGGTTAAGTGTTGGGCTGCTAATACAAGATCATCAGTTCAAGCCTACTACCCACTCCATAGGACAAAGATGAGGCAGTCTGCTCCTATAAAGATTTATAGTCTCACAAACCCTATGAAGAACCTGAACAATTCTAATTCTACTCATCATGTCTTCATGATTTGGAAGGCTAAGATGTAACTTCTCACTCAACTAACACATTGCCATCCAGTAGATGCCAATTAATAGTGACACTAGATGAAAGGATAGAAACCCCCGTGGGGATATGAGACTATAACTCTTTACAGGAGTAGAGTAGAAAATCTCCTCTTTCTCCCATGGACTGGGAGATTCTGGTGATTTCAAACTGCTTACCTCTCTGTGTTTTTGCTTTTTTCAACTGGGGATTAGCATCCCTTACCTATTCAACCCACAGAAGGCTCGTGAGAAGGAGCAGAGTAAAGGTATAGAGATGTTGGAATTTGGGAAGCCCTACAGAGGTGTAAGGAACCCAGGACAGTGTGCAAGGGCTTCACAGACCTGCAGTGTGGGTCCTCCATCCTGAAACTCTGCACACACTGGAAGCGGGCAACCCCTGGCCCCTCTCAGGTAGGCAGACAGGGCGAATGTGCTGATTGAACTGAAGTGGTTCAGCTAGCTGCAACAGTGCCAAGTCATAGTCCAGAGTGGTGAGGTTGAAGGCAGGGTGGGTTATAACATGCTTGATAAGCCTTTTCTGATAAGACAAAAGGAGCGTGAAATATACCCATCAAAGAGTGGAAGTGTTCAGAGACTGGGGTCCTTGAATTCCCCTAAAAGAGGAAACAATTTGAGGTGCCAGCAGTTGCTGTCTTTTAGGATGGTGTTTGATCCCTTAGCAGAGCGCCAGGCAGGGGTGGGCCTAAGGAAGGCCTATTAAATGACCTTGATATTTCTACTCAACGGCCTGTTGGCTCTGGAAACAAGGACATCTTTAGTGGTAAATTGCACAATGAAGAGGACCTTCATGGTGAGGCGTGGGCGCGGTGTATTATTATGAGTGTGCACAAATAGAAACACTTGAAGTTGATTTTGAGTCCTCTCGCTTCTCTAGCTGTATGAAGGGAAATGCATTTCAAGCTGTATCCTATGCTCTGGAACCCTGGCCGCATAGTGGGTACACGTTGGGCTGCTAGTTGGAAGGTCAGCAATTCCAAAGAAATGGCCCACTCCGAGGGGGGGAAGGGGAGGCTTTCTACTGCCATGAAGACTGACAGCCTCAGACACCCACAGGGGCAGCTCTGCCCTGTCTTAGAGGGTCGCTCTGAGTCAGAATCGGACTTGCTGCCAATGAGGACCCTATACTGGAGCACAGGACCCTGAGTAGCCAGGAAACAAGGCAGGCCACCACTGGGCACATAAATCTAGTGGGACTTTCGCTTTAACCTGGCGGCCAAGAGACTGAGAGGCCTCTTACCTGAGAAGAGCCTTTGCCCATGTCAGGGACACCTGCGTTCACCACCCAGGCAGCGGCACGCTGTCCTCTGAGGAGCGGAAGCAAAGGGGTCATCTCATTACAATCTGTGCGGCTAGAAGCCCTCCACAGAACTCAGGGGTCAGGGGGAACAAGCTGCAATCTTGGTCATTGTGACCTTAATCTGTCTATTCTAATGTAAATATTTTACTTTTAATGATATTTATAGATCATATCTGGGAGTACAAGTTTCCCACTTATTATTTTCAAATCTTGGTAAACCATTCTAGATTTCCAGGATTCATTTTCGGTTAAATTTTGTAAGTTTCTTGAAAAAAATAACCTTGGAATTACAGTAAGATTTTATTTAAATTCATACACAAGGATGGGCGGGGTGTAAATGACATAGACACACAATAAGGTGCATCTGATTCAAAACATGGTATTTTCAGTTACCTCGTATACATATGAAAGCGGACTATTCATAAGGAAGATCAGAGAAGAACTGATGCATTTGGATGATGGTGTTGGTGAAGAATATTGAAAGAACCAGGGGCTGCCGGAGGAACTAATTTGTCTTGGAGGAAGTACAGCCAAGATATTCCTTGGAAGCCAGGATAGCAAGACTGTCTCACATACTTTGGACATGTTATAAAGACCAGTGCCATCAGGAAAAGGGACTATTGGTTGGTACAGTAGGGTTTCTGGGGAAAAGAGGAAGACCGTTAAGGAGATGAATTGGCACACTGGCTGCAACAAGGGCTTCAAGCCTAGCAGCTGTGAAGATGGTGCAGGACTGGGTGGTGTTTCGCTCTGTTGTGCAGAGGGTCTCTATCAGCCCTTACCTGACCTGCAGTCACCTAACAGCAACAACAACACGGCAGAGAGGTTAAGTACCTCAGCCAGGGTTGCTATACCTGGAGCTGCAGAAAAAGGCCTTAAATTCAGGCAATCTGGCTCCATATTTTATACTTTCAAACCCTCTCATCACTCACACTCTTCAATATGGCTGATAAATGATTATTTTTTTGAAACTGACCATATGACTGTATTCTCTTATTGTTTCCAGTACATATTTGCGTTTTCATTTTATCCTTTTGCAATCATACTATCTTACATTTATAGCACTGCCAAACAATAATATGATTATAATATTACATAATAAACATGATAATATACTTTTTTGCTCTACCCTAAATGTGAACACTAGTGAATTCTCTTCACTATCTTTGCTATTGGTTATTGCTTTTTAAAACATGGAATACAATATACATGTATAAATGGAGCCTGAGTGGTTCCATGGTTATGTGCTCATTTGCTAACCAGAAAGTCAACTATTTAAAACCTGTTTTAGTTGAACATCCGTGTACCAGAGTCCATACTAAGGAATAAAATGCTTGTAATCTGTGAATGCCTTTCGGGCCCTTCCTAGATCTTATCCCTTACTTCATTATCTGGAGTTTTGCATTTTTTATTCTTTGATTTTCCTTAGTGTTTACTCTATTTTTGCTTATCACAATCTATTATTTAACTTTGCATTCTTTTGAATTCTCCTGGAAGGGTACCATCAAAATTGGATGCAGGTTTTGGACAGCTTGAAGCCTATTCACTTTGGGGGTCTCTCTGTAAGAAAAAGGGTGTACTATTATAAATCCATTCATAAGCATGGGATTTATGCTTATACTTCACGGTCAGAAAATTTCACAGTAAGCACACCTCTGGTGACATGCTGTGGCATCTACAAGTAGTCATTCAGGAATGGGAAATGAGAATTGGCAGAGCATACTTGGAGAGAGAGTTTATATGTATGTACACCCCATTAGATTCATATTGTTGAACAAGTTTTTACCTGTATTTCCAGCACTAACATTTCTAAATAAGGGAATATTGGACAGCTCGTCAGCTTCTCTACCTACGTTCCTGGACACCACATCACTTTCTCCTAAGGGGAATTATGGGACAGGAGCTGGATGGCTGCTTCGGTCTGGTGCCATCTGACCCATGCTTAGCAATACCCCGTAACTTTTGGAATTTGAAGAGTGCCTTTACCGGTGTTCTAGAGCAAGTGGTGGCTTTCCTTTTATTTTATACTCCACTGGTTATTTCAGTAAATTTCTGTGATAACGGGATTGATGTCTGCCTTAATGTCGTTAACTTTTAGGCAGTAACCCTTGTCTGAATTTACTGTGGACTTTTAGCCTTTGACGTATTAAACAAAGGTTCTCTCCCAAGCACTACTTTGTCCCTGGACTAGTTTTCACCAAGTCGTAGAGCACAGTATGAAGGGAAGGAAGCTGCCTGATCGCCCGGGGAGCTCGAGGTCTGTCTGGGAAGAGAGGTTGCCCATGACAGTGATGAACAGAGAAGTGACCCTGGCCAGTATCAGGTGATAGCTGAATGATTACTGATTACCCAGCATAAACCACCAGCCCCCTTTCCATTCTGTCCCCCAGATGGGCTTACTTCTCAGAGAAGCAGTGAGCAGCGGTGACTACCCAGGTCTTCCCGATGAGGGCTCCTTCGCAGTGATGCTGGTCGGCAGCCTGAAGGCTGACCTGCCATGGCCAGGAGCCACCTGAAATGTCCTTGCTTTCCACAAGCCAGCTGGAAAGACACCTGGGCGGTAGGGAAGTGCCTCCATTGAGGTCATCTAGGAGGGGAGCATGGAGATGCATCTTTATCACTTCTGGGTCTTCCTCAGATACTCAGAACTACTTAACTGTTGAACTCCCACCTACTTGTGGGCTTCCCTTCCTGAATGCCTCTCCCCTGGATTCCAGACTTACTTAGCCAATCGCTTAAATCATATACACCAATTCCTGATCATGTATTTACTGGTTTTGCTCCTTGGTAGAGCCCTGACCAAAGTACCCATTGTATCACATAGTCCAGACAGACCAGCTTACCAGAGACATTAGTTACTCCACGTAGTACATTCCAGGGACTCTCCAGAAGCATTGGCTCATCCTTGGGTGTGGAAATGTTTGAATCTGCAGGTAAGAAGAGTAACACAGTTGATTAACTCTCAAAAGAATGCCAGGCTTGGGAATTTATAAAAAATGATATATGGAGATTTTGTTCGGTTTCTGGGGGCACCTTGGTCAACTGGAGTCTCTTGACATTTGACTGAAACATGGAGCATTGTAACAAGGCCCTGTCTTTGCCATTAGCACTTGCTCAATTCCTAAGAAAAAGAAATAGCTTGGGAAGCAGATAGCAGTCCTGTAACATGTCCAAAGGGATCATGGGTATGAGGGTTTGGAAAGAAGTGGGGTAATTCAAATGTTTACAGCTTGGTAAAAAAAATTAGTCTCACTTCTGAGCCCTTATGATGTGCTGCATACTTGCTTATGACTGAGCAGGTGTTAATGGTTTAAACCTCACTAATTTCTTTCTTTTTAGAAAACTCATTTTATTGGGGCTTGTACAACTCTGATAATAATCCATACATCCATCCATTGTGTCAAGCACATTTGTACATTTGTCACCATCATCATTCTCAAAGCATTTTCTTTCTACTTGAGCCCTTGGTATCAACTCCTCATTTTTTACCTTTCCTCCCTCATGAACCCTTGATAATTTATAAAATTTTTTTTCATGTCTTACACTGTCTGATGTCTCCCTTCACCCACTTTTCTGTTGTCCATCCTCCAGGAGGGAGTTATATGTAGATCCTTGTGATTGGTTCCCCCTTTCTCCCCCACCTTCCCCTTACCCTCCTGGTATCGCTACTCTCATTATTGGTCCTGATGGGTTTATCTGTCCTGGAATCCCTGCGTTTCAAGCTCTTATCTGTACCAGTGTACATCCTCTGGTGTAGATGGATTTGTAAGGTAGAATTTGTATCATGGTAATGGGGGGGAGGAAGCATTAAAGAACTAGAGGAAAGTTGCATGTTTCATTGGTGTTATACTACGCCCTGACTGGCTCATCTCCTCCCCGAGCCCCTTTTGTAAAGGGATGTCCAGCTGCCTACAGATGGGCTTTGGGTCTTCACTCCACACACCCCATCATTCACAATGATAAGATTTTTTGTTCTTTAAT